AATCATGAAAAATTTAAAGACAGTGACAACAGAGACTTAAACCAAGTGCAGGGCCCTTCTAAGCGTGGGGCCCTGGTAGACGCGCAGGACACACAACCATGAAGCCCACCCTGGCTCAGCATGTTCAAGAAACTCAAGTGGGCAGTATTTTAGGAAAGTCCTTTTTTCAGTAATTTTGTTCTGTAGGCCTCCACAGATTTAATAAGTATTTAGGGTATGCATAGTTATGCCGGCTCCTGTATCAAGGGGTGGGGATACAGCAGGACAAATGACAGTGAAAATCTCTACCCTCATGAACCTTATGGTCTAGTGGAAAAACTTGCACGTGATAATTTTCATTATCTGGTCCAATCATGTCTTGACTACATATTCTGACAAAAAAAAAACGTTCAAATAGCCAGTGACTACTTTTACTTTATATTTTTAAAGGTAAAATTGAAATTGAAAATATTATTTTATATTTATACATAATGCATTAAAACCTGTGAAGCTGAAAACTGTAAAGTAGGAACCTATCAAATACTTCCCACTGATAGAGAGCGATTGAAAAGTGCTAAGACTGTGTCCTGTGAAAGGTGGAAAATTTGTGAGACCCAGAAAAACCGAGTAGTCCTGTCGAGTTCTGATTCTCACAGGTTTCACTGTAGAAATGTTCTATAAGGAGCAAGTGTTATTTTGATTATCAAAAAACAGGTCTGATATAAAAAAACTTACTTAGAAGTTCTACAATACTTGAAATTTCAATTTTTACTTACAATACCTCTAGGAAACAAGAAAAAATATGAGGAAATAGTTAGAACCTTTGTTTAGTATTTTAAATAGTTTCACTTATTTTAATTTGGTTGAGAAATTTTTGTCATATAGTACTTATACCAAAGTTTAGCCCCTGGATATGACTTTTAGAATCTATATTAAATCAGAGAAATTGAAGTGCATTCTTTGGTTTGCTGAATGTCAGGGCGATAACATTCACTGATCTGGTTTTCTTGCATGACATATGTAAGTGACATTAGTGCAAGGGTAGTGTTTTGCTAATAACTTCACTTTTTAGTTATAGTCAGGAACTGTTGGCATGCATTCTTGAAGAGTTCTTTTCTCCGTGATGACAGAGTCAATCATGATTATCCTTCCTCGATCACTTGCTATATGCCAGAGATGCTAGATGTTTTATTCATTTAATCCTCGCAATGATACTGTGAGGTCAATATTAACCTCCATTTTATAGCTGAGGAAACTAAAATTTAGAGAAGCTGATTAACTTGCCCCAAGTCCTCTAATAACTGGCAGTGTTAAACTTTGAATCGTTTCTAGCTGACGGCTGAAGCTACTTGCCACCAAGCTTACACCTTCTCCCGATGCTTTCTGATTTTCAGTAGCACACTGTGAAAGGGAGAGAGAATAAATACATGACGGCATTTGGAGAAGAGCAGAGGAGAACCACGGAGATGAGCAGTGTCCCGGGAAGTGGGCCGTGTGGTTGTGTACACTCAGATTGCCTGCAGTCTGTGGAACGGCCACTGACCAGTAAGAAAAGGTTTGCAGTGAGGACACGACTGGAGGTGGACTCCTGCCCCACCCGCACCACACCCCAACCACCAACACCGCCCCAGATACTCGGAGATCAGGGATTGAGGAAGGTCATTATGGGTAGGAGCATGGTCAAAGACCACCTCTGAAAGGAGAGACCAGAATTTGAAAGCAAAAAGGAACTGCTAAAGCAAAAGAGGACCAAAACTGTGTCTTGAAGGTTCGGAGGCCTAGGCAGAAATAGTAATTCCAGACTCTTCCGTTGTAATGGGGATTAAAAGAGCACTAGCAGATGTTCTCTTTGTAAAGAAGTCTGGCTAGAGGGAAGCCGGGAAGAGTAGATGTTACAAGCTGTGTACCACCATCTTGGTTTGCAGGTTCCTTCATAGTCAGAATCTGCAATGTAGTCTGAACTTAATGTGATCTGTGTAGTGCATTCTTTTCTTTTGTGAGTATGGTGGTGTTGTTAGTTGTGGATTTGATTCCGACTCACAGCGACCCTCTGTACAACAGAATGAAACACTGCCCAGTTCTGTGCCATCCTCACAATCATTGCTATGTTTGAGCTCATTGTTGCAGCCACTGTGTCAGTCCATCTCGTTGAGGGTCTTCCTCTTTGTCACTGACCCTCTACTTTACCAAGCATGATGTCCTTCTCCAAGGACTGATAATATGTCCAAAGTACATAAGACCAAGTCTTGCCCACCTCGCTTCTAAGGAGCATTCTGGCTATACTTCTTCCACGACAGATTTGCTCATTCTTCTGGCAGTAGTAATACCTTGTTCAATCGTGCTGAGAAAGAGAGCTGTTATATTACTTGTACAGAAATGTGTACTGTTCATATAATGTTCCATGTTGGGAGAAATATGCTGTTTTTTCATAAATGAATTAGGACATGTTATACATACATAAGACTGGACAAATGCACCCTCGGATCTATTCGGTAAGCTTAGAGTAAGCCACAACTGGGGAGGCTGGTTGGGATCTCTCCTTCAAGCAGGCCTGATCAGTCTGCTGGGGACAGTCCTACTAGTAACCCTCATTAAATGATGCCTCAAATGATGCACAGCTAAAGCATCCACCAGAGTTGTGCACCAAAACCACAGACATGCAGCTCAGCTCAACATCCAGAATGGGTCATGGGCATACCAGGTCTTTTTCTGACACCTTGTTGGGAGTTGGAGGTGGACTGTTGGGGGAATGGTCTGCCTCTATGCCTCCCATCCAGGCTGCCTAAGGAAGGCCTTAGGCCCAGAGCCTTCTCTGATAAGGAGGCTGGGAATTGGGTCACCTTCTCTCTCCTGGTTCCTTCTTATCAGAGAAGGCCTTCCCCCTGTTCTGGGCACACACTGACTTTCTCTGTCTTTTGCATATGCGCAGACACCATACAGCACCTAGCCGACCCCACTTGTATATCTGTTCCCAGCAGGGAGGGAACGGGATCTCTCGTGCTACAGCACAAGAAGGGCAGTGTGCCAGATTGTACGAGCTGGCCCCCAAGGGTGAACTGAAGGGGAAACAGGCTTTGTGAGGCCGAACATGAGCACCCTCGTATGGTCCACTAGTTCATACAGTTTGCTAAGTCGGATCTTTAAGTAAGTCCCTGGTATGTAGCCACTGTTGTCCACCACCACTATAAAACCTCTGCCCTCCCACTGCACGTGGAGGTGTGCTCTGGTCCTGCTGGCGTCCAGGACTTGGCCTTGTTTTTAAGTCTCCCTAGTAAAACTTCTTTGCTGCCGCCATGGAGTTTCCTGCCTCTTTCTTTGGTCTCTCGGCACCCTCCATTTTCGGAGGCAAATTTCAAGTTACTGGTCATGCCTGGGCAGTAGTTTTTTTTGTTTTGTTTTTTGTTTTAATAATAGCTTTATTGAAATATAATTTACATACCATAAAATTCGCCCTTTTCAAAGTATAAACTTCAGTGGTTTTTAGTAGGTTCACAAGGTCGTGCAACCATCAACACTATTTAATTTTAGAATATTTTCATCATGCCAGAAGAAACACTATACCCATTAGCAGTCACTCCCCATTCTCCTCACCACCCCCGGAACCCCTGGCAGTCACTAATATACTTTCTGTCTCTATTGATTTGCATATTCTGGACAATATTTGTCCTTTTGTGTTTGGTTTATTTCACTTTACGTAATGTTTTCTAGGTCCATCCATGCTGTAGCATGTATAAGAACTTCATTCTTTTTTATGGCCTAGTAATATTCCATTGTATAGCTATATCACATTTTGTTTATCCATTTATCAGTTGATGGACATCTGGGTTGTTTCTATTTCTTGGTTATTATAAATAGTGCTGCTGTGAACACTCATGTACAGATTTTTGTATGGACATATGTTTTCAATTTTCTTGGGGAGTATGAATATATATATATATAGAGAGAGAGCTCTAACACTGCTGAGTCATATGGTAACTCTGTGTTTAACATTTTGAGAAAACTTTCAAACTGTTTTCCAAAGTGCCTGCACCATTTTAGCACCAGCACGATATGATGGTTCCAATTTTTCCACATCCTCACTTCCAACTTGTTACTGCCTTTTTTATTTTAGCTGTTCTAATGCATGTGGAGTGGTATCTCATTGTGATTTTTATTTGCATTTCCCTAATGACTAATGGGAAAACCTGGTGACATAGTGGTTAAGAGTTTAGACTGCTAACCAAAAGGCTGGCAGTTCGAATCCACCAGCCGCTCCTTGGAAACCCTCTGGGGCAGTTCAACTCTGTCCTGTAGGCTTGGAATCTACTCAACAGCAATGGGTTTGGTTTTGGTTTAATGACTAATGATGTTGAACATCTTTTCATGCGTTTATTGGCCATTTTTATGTCTTCTTTGGAGAAATGTCTATTCAAATCCTTTGCCCATTTCTTAATTGGGTTGTATGTCTTTTTACTTGAGTTATAAGAGTTCTTCATGTATTCTGATAAATGTCATATATCAGATACAAGTCCTTTATCAGCTATATGATTTACAAATATTTTTCCCATTCTGTGGTATGATGTGAATTGGTGAATTTTAATATTTGTAGTTTTTATATTTTTCCTCTAAACTTTAATTTTCAAAATTGCCTCAATATATCTGCTGAGTGGATCACAAGCCAGATAGCCATGAAGTGTTCACTGAGAGAAAAGTGAACACACATGTTCTGTTTATCAGAAGCTACTCATTCACAAAAATGGAGACTTCCCTGAGGTCACTAGGTGAGCCTCTCAGCCAGTAAAAGAAATTTTGTTTTGTTAAAAGAGAAGAGAAGCCTTCAGACCTAATTAGAGTTTGAATTTATTAATGAAAAGCATTGGAAAACTATTCCTATATGTTCAAACTACTGATTGGTTCATTCAAAAGCAATTGAATTTCTGTTTAACCTGACCTTTTCCTTTTTCTTTTCTCCTCTTTTTCTTTTTCCTTTTCTCTCTTCCTTTTCCTTCTCTCCCCTCCCACTCATGTTTCTATTTTTTAAGATTGAAAATGGCTCAGGAATCAATCAGCAAGTTGACGTCAGAGAAGAAAGTGGAGACAAAGAAAATCAATCCCACAGCTAGTCTGGTGAGATGGATTTTTCAACCTAATCTCAGGATTTTTTGTTATTACTGAGGTACACCAAGGAGTGTGTCTGAATTTAAAGGAGTAAACTCAGACGAATGACTGGTAGTATCTAGAATCTGGACAGTATCTAGAATCTGGTAATATACAAATTCTCAGTTGTACCACAGAGTAGCATATGGTCAAAAAGAATATGTAGAAAAAAAAAGCAACACATAGCTTCATGTTTTCTCTCTGCAAACTCAACAAAGGTCATTTCTGATCACCTAAATTTAGTCACTTTCCATTTCACATCCTTCTCCCCACCCTGTCCCATGATCCCTTTTATCTCAAAGCCCCTTTCTCCTGAAATGTTCATTCAAGCATTTTCACACTTATCATTTCCTTTTCCCTGTTAAAGAAAAGGGAAAAAATTATCCTCTTTGGATAGTTGGGGAAATTGAGATGCAGAAAGACACAGCCTACCTGGGGTCACTTGGCAATAGATAATAAAAGCTAACACCAGAATCTGGGTCCCCTGATGTCTGTACCTGGGCTAGTTGACCCTCCTACCTTTGAGGGAAAATTGTTCTCCGAATTCCAATTTTCAGTAAGGATCACAGTGGATCTTCACCCATATTTTACAGCCAATAATCATAATAACTAAATCATTAAGAGCCAACTGCCTGGGTTCAAATTCCAGTTCTGCCAATTACTAGTTGTAAAACCTTAGTGAACTTAACTTCTTTGGACCTCAGTTTCTCTTGGGTAGAGTTATTTTGAGTATTAATTGAGAAAGACATGAAAAATACCTAGCACTTAAGATGAGCTCAGTAAATGCTAGATATTTTTCTTATTATTGCAATTTCCAGCAGCTTTGTTGACCCTGCAGTGGAGAACAGCAATGAATTTTAAGTGAGAGTATCGCTCTCCTCACTTTAATTTTAAACCCTACCTTCCCTATGCCCTGATGTCCCACAACTAGTTATTTTATCCTTTTGTGTGACAAGTACTTTTTTGCAAGCTTCCTTAATTCCTTTGAAGATCTAAGTGGCGTGTAAGTTATAAAGTGAGATTATTTGACCATGGTGGTTGTAATAACAACCCCATCAACAGCTAAAAGCCTGTTGCTTAAGGCTGATGGATGAGAAATAAACCATGGAGAAGTCAGGGCCATACAGCTTGGTCAGACAAAGGCGAGATTAGTGTGTGTAGACCCTGCCTGAAAGGACACATCCGTGGTGGCAACTCTGATTTTTATCTTCCTCCTTCATTGGCCTCTACTCCATCCCCCAAGTCCTTTACATGGACCTCTATCCTAACTTTTTACAGCCAGACTTGGTTCCCCAAGGCAGAGCAAGTGGGGTCATCCCTGTAGACAAAGGGGAGACAGTGGGTTTGCTGTGGCACTCTTTCATATGTTGACCTCCACTCTGAGCAAGTTCCTAATTGTGATCCTCAACTTGTTAGAGTCTTTTATTTTGTTGTTTGCTTATGTTGGCTGGTTGGCTGGTTGGTTGCTTGGTTTTGGTGGAAGTTAGGGAAGTTCTTGCAAACTGATTTGTAAATTTAAGTTCACAAGTCAAGGACGGGTGTTTAAAAATCATTTTAAATTTATATCTAGGCCAAGTAAGTAATTGGCTGCAACATTACATCTCATAGACCAGAAGCAACAGAGGATCCAGTTCTCAAGGGACTTCTCTCTGCCTCTGTTCTTTCTCAATGAGTATACTTTTCCCTTTTCCTTTTTATTCTTCTATTAGCCCTCCCCTAAGAGCAGGACACACCCATCCTTACCATGCTTAATATATTTACTTCTCTAGAGTCACAGAAACAGTGACGATCTGTGTTTCTATGCTGTGTACTCGTATTTATTTTTTACATCTTCCCAACAAACCTCCATCCTCTTCTTCTTCAGAAGACTGTCCTTGGGAAGGAAGCTCAGAGAAAGCTGAGCAGAACATCCATAACAAAATGGGAACTTCTGCCCTTCTGCATAGACTAAACCTGGTCATCCTTCATTTCACATACTCTTTGTTCAGTTCACCAAGTTGATCGTATGCAGACATGTTCAACTTGGAAACAGTGACTTTTCATATCTAGTCTCCCTAGAATCTATTTCTTGAGCATACCCTAATTCCATCAGTGTGTGGGTGGGGGTCTTTGTCCAAAAGGGTCTTTGTCCCAGAAGAAGAGAACAGAATAAAGCAGCCCACCGTCTCTTGAGCTGACATGGCAATGTTGGTGTTCTGGATGGATATAGTTGCTTGATTGACTGATTGTTCATTTTTTCATGCTTGTTTGCTTGCTTGGGAAATAAGGGTGATAGGCTGGGAGGGCGGGTAATGAAGGGTTTAGGGAAAGAAGGATAGAGATACTCTCATCTCTAGAGTGTTTGTTACAACTCTACTTGGCATTCTAGACTACATGCTTGTCAAAATTTGAGAGAGATGAAAAATTAGAGAACTGATAATAAACTCTTGTTTTTTTCTTAAATAACAGAAAGAAAGACTGCGTCAGAAGGAAGCCAGTGTGACCACCAACTAAAGCAGACATACATGAAATGATGACAGTGGGGATGTAGTCCTTGCATGATCCTTTGCAACAACAGTGCCGCAGGAGTTCTTGAAAGATATGTCACTAAATGTTTGTTTTGTTCATCTCTTTCTGAGGTCACCTGAAGAGAGCGCCCTGTGCCTTCTTAAAGAAGTTCCTTATTAAGCCACAGGAACACTGAAAAGCTGTTTAAGGGGACATTGTAGTAGTATCTAATAATTGTTTCTTGAAGAAGTCCAGGATCCACTCTGCTTTAAGACCAGAGAAATTACCAAGATTTTTCAAATTTTTAAAGAAGTTGAGACGTCAGACTCTCTAACCCAAGCTTGATATACGTAAACTTGTCACAACAGAAGAGAAGGACCTCTTATGACAATTGCTTTGTGATATTTCACACCTCGGATTTTTATGCATTTCTGTTTTATTAGTCTTAATTTTTATCTTGTTGCAGCAAATCCTAAAGCATCTTTTTCACCAAAAAAAGATGAAATTTTACCAAAACCCTATTTTACCAAAACTGTTTTTTAAGAGGTCTAAGCCAATGTATTTTCTAGATTAGAGAAATATTTTGTTCATGTAATGGAAGGGAGAGAAAATGGAAGTGAGAGAGAAATAGCCATAAACTTCATCCTGAAGAACGACTTATGATACAGGGAGTTTACATCAGCCAATGAGTGAGGCTCATTGTTTGTTTTTATTTATGCCAGTGCAGTGTGGTTTCCTGGACCAGCAGGGATTCTGCACCCTAACTTCCAGGAGAAATGGTGACACCTGAGCCAGGACAGCCACGGGGTCAGAGCACCTGCTGGACAAGAGACCCAGTGATAGAAGCACCTTTTACATTTCAGGCTGTTTGTGAATGGGTAATACCGTGTTGACATACAGCTCATTCTGTACACACCCTGTTCTGTGACTGTACTGCTGGACCTCTCCCTCCATGCCCACAAGGCAGTTTCCAGACAGGAGAGCAAATGCTACTCGCAGCCTTTGATCACAACCTTGGCTGATTGACATGTGAAGTAGGGTGATGCAGGGGTCTTTGATGTTGAAAAATTTAAGTTCAGGAAAAAAGTTCATTACATCAAAATGAAAGTGATTACTAATATTAAACTTTGGGTAGCATGTCATGCATGGACACCTGTATAACCGCTGCCTCTTGGGTCACAGAGAGTAACCACTTTGACTGCTCCTCTGACATGGTCCCGCTTAAACAAGTACCACCCTTTGAATCTATCTTGTCAAGGTTGAAAAAAGAAGACTGAGTTTGAATTGAGAACAGGTTCAAAGGCTGTCATTTCTAGGCCTTGAGGGAGAGGGGTCCATGCTTTGTCCTCCAGTTGATGGAGGACAGTCTAGAGATGAGCAAGAGCCTTGACTCTGTTCCCAGCCCGTCTGCCACACGTAGCCTTCGCTCTGCCCCAGCATCTTTCCAGAACCTGTTAACTTACCAGGTGCCTCCCCAGGATATGCCTGCCAGTCATCAGCCCCCTCAGGGATCCCTATAATAGATTCAGCTAATCAGAGCAGCACTGTGTTCTAATATAATGCAATTCTTGGGAATGAAGAATGTACAATCAGGATCAAATCAAGTCACAGAAGCCATATTCATGCAGGTGCTAACACATTCTCTAGCAGTTCAAAAGAAAGGAATATAGTTACATGTTGGGTTTATTATTATTATTATTATTCAAAATAATGAGAAGAGAAAAGCAAGATAGAAAAATTGGTATAGAACTTCCGTGACTAAAAAGGCTTGATGTTGCTTGCAAGTGAGAAGCTTTTCATACTGCTTTCTTCTGTGGTTTCTCTTTATTTTCACTTAACTGTGAAGAAAGCCAAGGAAACTCATCAATTTAAAACAAATTCCACTTACAGCCATCCATCCTGTGCTTCATGACGTTCCTTCTAGTATTATCATGCAGAAGAAAAGTGCCTGTTCTGCCCATGCCATGGAAATCAACTCTGAGTTCAATGAGATAAGTCTAGGTCCTTATGGATCCTAATTTATAGAGACCCATAAGGACCTAGACCCGTATGGGAGAGAGAAGCAGGGAGTTTTCAGTGGAATCACTGTAGTCCACTCAGGTCTCTTAAACAAGATGTTCACAAGAAAATCATTGAAGATAAGCAGGACTATTACCTTGGCCACATAACCCTGCGAGGACATGCTCTCAGGTAACCAATGCTGAAAAATAGTGAGTGGAGACGTTTAATTTGAAAGTTAGACAAATTCAACCCAAGCTGGATTTCATCCTAGTCGACAGAGTAGACATTGGCAGTATAATACCTATTCCTAAAGAGCCTGCCTCTGTCTGGGAAGCCTGGTGGTTTTGTAACACTGAATGTAGCAGAGTGTTAGAGCTTTAAGATACCATAGCAGAATCTCCATTATTCTATGGAACCATGCACTAGATTTCTGTGACACGCCTCCCAACTGCACGGGTGTACTGCATCGTTGACGCAGCCTTCGTGTCAAACTTAAGTTGATGCTCAGTAAAGTTTCACAAGTGTCTGTTCAAGGTGGGCCATCTAGAACAGTTGGGAGCCCTCGAAAATGATCCCTCTAAAATCCAGTTAGGATGTTAAATACAACAGGTGTCTCTAAACTTTGCATGAAGAAGAGGTAATTGGGAGACCACATAGGAGCTTGAGCATTTCAGGTAAGTGGGGTTAAGTGGCTGCCTCTGGGCACAGCCCTCCCCGAACTAGAAAGCAGAGTGGCCAGGACTGCTACCCTGTGTTTTACCAGACACTCACACCTGACTTACTAGTAAGACTCTGATAAACCTTAACCTATGCACATCCTGATCTCTTCCTGGCCAGGAGTCATTAAATCTGAGGACAGAATTGGATAGTAATTCAGATTTCTTGCAGGATCAACTGGCAATAATGATCAAGCATGTGGATATTTTATATGTTAATGCTAAAGCATTGAGATATTCAGACACGTTGGGTAAAAATCATCAGTCCTGGGAGGTGTCAAAACTCAGAAGAAAGTATGCTGTATGGCTTTTAATCTAAGAAGAGGCAGTTTATCATAATAATAAACAAGGAAAAGTGTGGCCAAGCAGAAGTGGAAGTGTATGATGGTGATGGAAGGCCCAGAGGTCACAGATCATGGCCCTGCTGCACAAGAGTTGCCTTTTGGATCATTGAGTTCACGTCTGTGATGTCTCTTCACATGTTTCCTACAACTACTTAGGAATTAGGGAGAATGAATTTCAGAAATCTAGGAAGTAGAATAAGGAACTCCAGTGGTGCTATGATCTAGCCGAAACAAATTGCCAACGTGGTTGAGGAGCTGAATGTCAGACTGGGTGCCGATTTTTCCCCCCCCAGTATGGAGAGTATAAGCTGCAAACCTACCAAGCCTCTCCTTTGTCCAGAAGCTCCATAAGGAAGGGCATTTCTTAAATGAAAAGCTCATATGCTGCTGGTGGGGAAACTGGAACAATTGAAGGAATATAATTCTGGTGGTCTTGGACAGTCCAGCCAGACAGAGAAGCAGTCAGTCAGTAGGGTTCTTCCAAGGACCATAGTTAGATGTAGCAGAAAAGCTCTAAGTGTATTTTTGGTAAAATGTTGCCTGCTGGCCTGTGATTGCACCTCTCTCTGTTATGAAATCCATTGTTGTAGAAGTCCTAAGCACATACAGATTTGAACAGCTGTGATGGCTGATGGGCATGAACAAAGTCAGAACCATCTACTGCCCACCAGAGACTTCAACCTGAACTGGACATCTTTTAGAGTGTGGATTTGAAAGAGCCAAGGATTGACCTGAATAGTTTACTTTTGAAAAAGTAACTACAAGAAGATTGAATAAAGAAATGAGCTTTCGTTCATGTCTGCTACCTTGTCCTCAAATAGAAAATCTGCAACAAAAGTAAGACAAGTCTATGTGGCCTAACTGATAGGAATAGAATAGATAATTCTTAGCCTTTCCAAACTACAAATAGCTTGTTGGATATCTTTCTGTTTTTAATCTATAGAGAGAAACAATCCAGCTGCTTAGAAACTTCTCTTATTATTTGTGCAGAAGTGGCTTAAAGGAAAACACCTTCATAAACAGGCCTCAGCAGATCTTTCTCCTTTAGACTCTACATAACAGTATTTATAACTCCAATAGCAATTTAATCCAGTTATAACCAGACTCGGTTGCAGAGCTGTGCGTGACTGAGAAGCCCATTTTGGTCATTCCTGCACACTCCGTCAGCTGTTGACACCTTGTTAAAGACACTGAATTTTAGTTTCATAATTCTTCATTTCTCCTCCCAAGGAGTTGGGCAATCCACCAAGCTCTCTCAGATCAGCACTTTGCTGGGAAGTGGTAAATTTAAGAGAGTTCTAACATGTCAGACTTGAAGCCAATTCAGTAGTCTTGTTTGTTCCAGGACTCTTCTTTAACACTGTGATATAAATCTAACATTTGGGAAATTTGCATAGTTAACAACTTACTTGGAAACATGAAGATATTAAAATGGCAGCTAGCTGACTCTGTCTCATAACCCACCATGCAGGTACCAAGGAAGAAATCAGGGAGTAAATCAAGCCTTACTCAGTAAGTCATCTATCCTCAAATGGAGCTTATGGGTTCGTTTCCCTCTCTACCCCCCAGCCCCCTCCCAACTACCCTGGTGATAAATGGTGGCATAGAGGACATTCTTCTCTTCATCTTTCCATTCCATGACATGGTGGTTCACTTCAGGAATGATCTCAGATGAACTCCAGACTTTACTCCATGTTACATCTTTGAAGTTCTTTGAAGTACTTGTTAGTGAATATCTTCTCCATTCTACGATCTTGGGAACACTGACTTAATCTCAATTTTTTTTTAATATGGAAGTGACAGATAAAGCTATCAATTTATTCTTCTACACTCCGTGCACGCTGATATAATTTTCTGTTTTTTAATCTTAAATATGCTAAGAAACTCCAGTCTGTCTCCTTTTCCATAGACTGATCAAAATAGTTCTGTGGGCTTTTTTTTTTTTTTTGGCCTTTTGTGAAAATAGCATTGTGCTAGCAAAATGTAAATGAGGCCATTATTTCCAGCAGAGAGTCACCTCCAAAGAATTTGGCATTCTTCGTGGAGTAAACAACATTCTACCACACTTCGGCTGCCAACTATGCTGAGCATCTCCCTAAGTTCTACCTGTGCAGATACCGAGGTCCTCTCTGTCTTTGTAAAAATGTATGAAAAGAAAATTGACATTTCTCCTCTTATATAGTATGAGCTTTCAATGCATTATCTTCGCAGATCAAGTAAGGAATGAAATGTTTTCAGGCAAAGTCAACATCTTGGCAAAGTCATACCTACTTTCCTTCATGGTTCTCTTCTAGGTCTTCT